GTATGGTATTTCTTGTCTAAATAAGATTTGTTGCAGGTATCAAATGAATGTGCTGATTGGTGTCTGAATGTTTTTCTTATACTCACTTGAATGGTGTGAAATCGTTACTGCACATTAACTTGTCCCTCATTGAACAAATTCACTTGACAGAACATATTTAGTTTGATTTGCCTATATTGTATCGAATTGGCAAGTTGTGATTTGAAGAAGAAATTTCTTCAGAGTAAATTGTGCTGCTGAGTATTGATTTTAGATTCCTTTCCATTATGGTTAAAATGCATGTCCCTCATATCATATTCTACTTACTTCAATAACCGATTTTGCGTAAACTTGCACAAAGAGCATCTGAACCCCTTTTCTTTTTCTACTTGTTTCTCAGATTTTGTTTACATAGGCATGGATGATAAAAAATTTGGATGTTATACAGGCTTATGTCAAAAACTTTGCTGATAAGGATGGAAAGGTTTGGCAAGGCGGAGGAGGGCGAAATCCACCGCCGGAGGCACCTCACTTGGTTGTGACAACCCCTGAAATAGAGGCTCTTCGTCCCAAATCACCCATGAAGAACCAACAGCAACTGCAGCAGCAGCAGTCGGCAACCATTTCTTTGACAAGTGCCAATTCCTCCAACAGAAGGAATGCTGGGAATTCACCACAGAACCCTGGTGTTCTAGGAATGAATCAAGAAGCATCCAGCTCCAACCCCTCTACTCCTGCTCCATGGGCTTCTCCAATGGAGGGCTTTAGAGGACCTGAAGGCCTGAATATGGCTACAGAAGATAAGGTTTTTGATATGTATGGGTACGGAGGACCGATAAACGGAGAATATTTAGATTTTGAACCTCATCGCCCAATGAATTTGTTGTAACAAAATTTTGAGCACCAATGTGCTTTTGTAACTTGTACATTTCCCTCCTTTTAGAATTCATAAATGAGAGGCAGAGGGTGAAGCAGTTGCCGAGTTCATTCACTTCATTACTCAGTAAGAAAAGAAGAGCAGATTGAGATTCTACATGGTAATGGCATGTCATATATAGATATTCAGTCAATTTACTAAAAACAAGTTTTCATATTTACCCTTATTGAATTAAAAGGTAAGAACGATGTAAAGCAATCCAGAGATGGGTTATGCCAAACTCACATGTGAAAGGGGCTGTAATAATCATGGTGTGATGTACAGATGATGTACAAAGGGTTGTAATTATCAACGAAAGTGATATTCATGAGATTTGAAGTAATTAAGATTGAGAGAAGAATATTTAATTGAAATTTAGTATAAATATTTTGAAACTTTCTTACCCTTATAATATAATTAAATAATATTACATAATTTTATGTGTAATGTGTACGGTACGTAGTGGGTGATACGTACTTAATTAACAACTCGCTTAATGGTTGACTTTGTTCTTCTAAAATTGTCTTTAAAAGTAAACCCACTAAATTGTTTTCTTCTTCATTAATTAATTAATTAATATTTTCAATTTCCATTTTCTTCAACCGGTTATTATTATTATTATTATTATTATTATTATTTCACCTACCTAATCCAATGCAATTCTTAGGCAAACTTGTCAAATTTACATATACACACACATATATATACAATTTATAATTAATTACTTTTTGATATATTTTTGTAAACTTTTGTTCTTTGCTATCATCTCCGTGTCTCATAATTTAAAGGAAAGTCATTTATATAAAGGAAAAAGGTTATATAAACACATATACATACACACACATATATATATATAGAGAGAGAGAGGGAGAGAGAGAGAGAGACAGAGAGAGCTAATGTGTAATTATGGGTTCCAATTTGATATATAAAAAAGAAGATTAACAAAAGAAAATGCAATAAATTGTAGTGTGAAATTACAAGATACTCAATTGTAAAGTACACCAAATTATAAAGTCAGAAAAATGTCAAGAGTTGTCTCCCATTAAACCTTAGACCGATCAAGTTAATAGTGATAGTAAAGAAAGCAAAACAATAACTTAAGGGATTAGAAGAGATGCACACATAAAAAATTATTTTTTTCTTAATTAAATATAATATTTATAGGAGTTTAATTATTGAAACACATAACAATTTGAGAGTAATTTTTACTGATTAAGTGATTTTTGTAGAGAAATAAAATAAATGTAAAATGAATCGATATAAAACCAGCATTCTTATATCAAACTAAAGAAATTTAAAACTGAAACGAAAGCGTACATGAATCTATAGTAGAAAAAATTTGCACGTCCAGTGATATATATTCAAAATTAGTATGTAGTTTTTTAAAGTTCTATCATTATTTCCATTTTGGTAAAGGAATGTTAGAATAAAAAATTTTATATATAATTTGAAGACTGTAACCATAAATTTATAAACAAACTTACTTGTTATTTTTTTTAATTTTTAATTTGACGAATTACAAGATCAGAAATTAGAAATGTGATCTTTATACATAAAAATAAATCTCACATTTTAATTTAATACATTGACACCCGACATACGCTTAACTGTATTAGATCACTTTTAATCGAATCTAATTAGTTTAATAATTTTTTATGCACAATAATTTACACATATATAAATTCGTATAATAAATTTAAAACTCAATAATTTTCTATCATTATTTAAAATATTCACTAATTTTATCTTAATAAAATATTATGTGATGATGGGTAAAATATATGATAAAATAAAGTATTTGTTAATAAAAGAATTCACTAGGGTCAACCCCCATTTCTCATTTTTAATACCTATAAACCACAACCATTTCATATAGACCCAATGGCACCAATTGCTAAACACTTGTTTTTTTTTTTTTGAAAAAAAATAGATCGAATGTCTCTCATTCACATTGAATAAGTGACTGTTAAAAACAAAATTGGGTTTTTCTAAACTTAAGTGGTAGTTGGCAATGGTACATCATACACCCATCTCTTAAAAGATAATAATAAATTTACTTTTAGAATATATTTGTATATATATATATATATATAATAAACTTTTTTAAAAAATAGTCTCCTAATTAAAGACAAAAAACAACAGAAGCAACCCAACATAGCAAACGACAAAATATGAGAGCAAAGAACCAATTAAAATCAAGAACAAAAGAAAATCCAAAAAAATTATATATGTATATATAAATATCATATTGTACTTCAAATATGAAGTGATTTGAAGACATCAACACATGGGTAGTAAAATAATTAAATGTAATAAATTAAGTCCTAAGTTTATTTAAGGCACACCAAACTACCAAAAGCAAACTTAATGATGAACATAAAAAAAAGTGTTTTAGTAAAAATAAATATTAGTTTGTTCTCTTCCCAATCTTTTTTTTTTTTTGCTTAAATTTGATTTTGATTAATTGTGATAACTTTTATGCTCCATATAGTTATAATTTTATGAAGAAAATATAAATATATGATAATATTTGATTGTATATTGAAGACAAGAGAGAGAAATGAAAAGAATATTTATTTCAATGATAATGTTGTGCTTGAAACATTTCTACTATCATATGTATATATTTTCTTATATATATAAATAAATAAATGTCTATGCATGTATTGTATGTATACGCGAATGATATATATGTATATATATATATATATATATATAGAGAGAGAGAGAGAGAGGAGCGGTGGATAGCTACCATCAATAGTATAATAAATACTTGGAAGTGCCAACTTATGCATCACTTCTCAAAAAAATTTGTTTCTTTTATGGGAAAATTAAATTTGTTAACTCAATAATTTGAGGAAGGTACATCATTGAGCACCCAACATATTGTATTTTCTTTTCATTTTTTAAATCAAAATCATCTTTTAAAAAATTAGTTTTTTTTTTTTGGGTTCCAAATAAAACATTTAAAAGAATGCTAAAAAAAATAAAATAATTTGGCATTAAATTGAGAGTTTGAGTTCATTGAAGATTAAGTATTAGTAGAATATGTTAATTCTTTCTCAATGCAGTCTTTCAAAATACTTTGTTTTTTTATTACTTATATATATATATATATATTTTTTTTGTTATCGACAGTAACTTTACAAATAATTCAATAAAGATTTGAGAACATTTTTAATCGAATATAAATATTAGAGTTGATTCGAGTTATAGTATATGCCAACAAGTATATACACGAGCATCTACCTCACTCGATGAGTTCTTGAGCTTCTACTAGGCCCCCATTTTTATTAAAAAATTCTAAGATTTTATCTTATTTTATAACCTACTATATATGTTTATATTCTATATTAACTATTTGACTTATTATTTTTTATAAGGGGCACAATATTAAAGAATTCATAGTTAGATTATGTAATATTCTATTCTATGAAACATATGTATATATTCATATAAAAGAAAAAAAAAAGTATTTTTTTCGAGATTAATAATTATTTAACTTAATGAAAGATACATATTTTTTTTTTTATAAAATATTATAAATTTAAATTAAGTTGTATTCTCGTGTATATTATTATTTGAAAGTCATTTCTATTATGTTATTATTAGTATTGATAAAATATATGTATTTTTAACTCAAAAAAAAATATTATCATCAATAAATGCAATAGTCTATGAAAAAAAAATTATATATATATTTTTCCTATAATGTTAAAACAATACAAATTTATTAAGAACATCAATTTTGAAATTAAGACACTAAAATAGAATGAAATATATACCTTACTCGTTACCCATTATGTTTTAAAAACATTAATGTAAGTAATTGGGTTATAATATTTTAGGGTATGGAAAAAGTATAACTTTATATGATAATGCATGTTATATGGTAATTATATACATTATTTTTTTTTTAATTTTCAACTACTATTTTTATATTCTTAAAAAATAAAATTAGTTGTAATATTAGTTTTAGTAAATCTTAATTTAATACGAAGAAGAGTAGAAAGTACTTTTCTCTTATTTTCAAATTTTTTTTTTTTTTTTTTTTTAATTATCTCTGATTCTATGTGATATTAATAAATTATTATATAAATTTAGTTTCTCTCTCCGCGGTTACGGCGATAGATACACAGAAATGCATGAATAATTTGTTTTTTTTTACACCATAAAATTGCACAACAACCAATGTGGATTCTTTCTTTTTTGCACAACAACTCCCACATCCACATTTACTTACACCACCACTCTACAAACTCACATGTATGTACAAACTGACACGTCAGCACACCCTCACATCTACATAAACACGCTCTCTCTCTCTCTCTCTCTCTCTCTCTCTCTCTTTCTCTCTCTTGTCCCCGTGTCTCCAGTATATGTATGTACGTATAGGTTTCTCTCTCTAAAAGATATAATGCCACGTCATGGAGGGTGCTTTATCCAACCACCGCTTGCCGTCTTCCCTTAGCTGTCCCTCACAGTAGCTTTGGCCCCTCTCTCTCTCTCTCTCTCTCTCTCTCTCTCAAGCCTCAGCAGTACTCTTTATGAGTTTCTCTCTCTAAGTGAAGATAGAGATAGAGATAGAGATAGAGATAGAGATAGAGAGAGAGCTTTTTGTATCTATAGTACAACTTGGAAATTTAATAGAGAAAAAAAAATCCAGTCTTTTTCTTCGTTTCCTCTTCCTTTCGTCTCCGTATAAAATCGTTTTTCGAGACCCAAATCTAAACTTTTCTTCTCTGTTTCCTCTCTTCTTCTTCTTCTTCTCCTCTTTTTTGCTTACTGAACTGCCTTCTGGATTTCTCTCTTAAAAGTTCAGGAAACTGGTTTCATTTTCTAAGTTTGTCAACCGAAATGCCTGCTTGGTGGGGAAAGAAATCGGGTAAAAACAAAGAAGAAAGTCAGCAAACTCAGGTCCAGGGACAAAACCCATATGCCAATCACGGAAATTTCTTGAAGTTATCGACAAAGGCTGATGCTACTAGCAAGAAGAAAGTAGTTGGCGGCGGCGGCGGCGGCGGCAGCAGCAACGAGAAGGATAGGCCCAGGAGCTTCGATGAGGGTGTTCTCGCGCGTAATTCGCCGCGTAACAGCAAGGATATCGCCGTGATCGGACCTGGGTCTTCATCCGGGTTCTCGGGTTTCGACTCGGATTCTGTGGAGAAAATAGGGCATCCTCTACCTCGTCCATCGATCTCCTCGATGCCGGGTGATCAGGTAGTTGGGTTGGGATCTGGGTCGGGTTCGGTTTCGAGTGTGAGCTCATCTGGGTCATCTGATGATCACCATATCGTGATTGATCAGGTTCAATTTGGTGGTTCCAGGTTGGTTCGTCTCTTTGGATTTGTTTAGGTTTTGGACCTCCTGATTGATTATTAGGGGGGTTTATCAAAAACAAGATTTGATTTTTTAGTTACTAATTTAATTTTTTTTAAATTGTTTTCTCCTTCCTATGATTTTGTTATGTCAGAATCTGGTTGCTTTGCCTGCAAAAAGAAATTGTCCATTTCTGTATCAGCCTTTTAATCTGCAATCTCTGTCTGTCTTTCTCTCTGTTAATTCCTGCTGTCTCAACCTTTTCACCCACAATTTTCTTCTACCCAAATCTTCTTACCCATCTCTCTTTCATCTTATCTGAATATTTCCTGTTGATCCTGTCAGATTCTGATTGCTTCTGAACAGTGGATTACTTATGCCCTCTTTTTCTCCCTTCAATTTTCAGGACTTTACCTTATGTGGGAGGCAAATATGTTAAAAAAAAATTGGTTCCCAATTTATGGGTTTATTACTTACTGCATATAGTTTTATGGGAGACTTGATAGTAGTTTATTTATCATTGGTTAACATAATTGGTTGTGCTTAATTTCTTAACACTTGGAAATGATTTTAGAGTGTTATGGTAGAAAAGATTTTAAGATTTAAATGGTATGCTATTATATTTTTTCATCTCGAGTAAGGTAGGATTTGCTTGTGTTCTCAATTTGTTATTTGGCTACAACCTAAATTTTGAAGTCTAGCTTATATATTGATTCCAGAGGACAAGGTGATATCAAGTTCAAGACAGCTCCAAGAAGCCCGGGTCCAGGATCAAGAGGTCCAACAAGTCCAACATCGCCTTTGCATATGCAGTTATCTGGTATGAGCCTTGAATCTCCAACAGGGAGACAGGAAGATGGAAAATCTCAATGTCATCAGCTGCCTCTTCCGCCAGGTTCTCCCACCAATCGAGCTGCATTGCCCAATTCGAGAATTGGGGCAGCTGAAAACTCTCCTGCCACTCTGTCGAAATGGAAGAAGGGAAGGTTACTGGGAAGGGGAACTTTTGGGCATGTTTACCTTGGATTTAATAGGTAATCGTGACGTTTCTTGTTTGTTGGTTGTCGCGAGCAAGTGAAGATAGGAAGTCTATTTTAGGAAATTATAGATAATAATCAGATATATAAATTTTATTAACTTGTCTTATTTGAGTTGGGGTTTGCTGAAGTTAAAGAATGTTATAGAACTTCCAATTACATCAATCCCCTCAAAGCTTACTGATATTGTCTTTTTTTTATGGTAGGCATAGCTAGCATCTAAAAAGGAAACAAAAAGAAGTTGATGAAATCGCTAATAAGCGATACAAACGTGTCAGAATAATTTTTACGAATGAGTCGATGTAAAAAAGGAAGTCTATTAATATATTGTTTTGGTCATTTTGTTGTTCTTTCCAATATAACAGTGAGAGTGGTCAAATGTGTGCAATAAAGGAGGTTAGGGTTGTTTCTGATGATCAGACTTCAAGAGAATGTCTCAAACAATTGAACCAGGTACCTTTTTTTGAAGTCCATTTTGTCATTTTTATCTATAATTTGAGTTTTGTCTCTGTTAGAACGTAGTTTCTGGGTTTCTCCTAGTACCATTTTGCATACAATATATCAGTTACCGAGTTTTCTTTTATCAACAGGAAATAAATCTGCTGAGTCAGCTGTCACATTCAAACATTGTTCGATACTATGGAAGTGAACTGGTAAGATTCAGTGAACTTTTTCTCTTCCGTGGGTGAAGTTGGTGCTCGTTTGCACAGCCCCACATGCATTTACTGCATCATGCACATGGAAAATCCTTTTTCCCGATGTTGCAACATTTAATCCAATCAAATAGAGAATTTGAATATTGGAACGTGAAATTGGATTCCATGGTTCCAGGGCGAAGAGACGCTGTCAGTTTACTTGGAATATGTTTCTGGTGGTTCAATCCATAAATTGCTCCAAGAATATGGTCCCTTTAGGGAACCTGTTATTCAAAATTATACGAGGCAGATTCTTTCTGGACTTGCCTACCTACACGGAAGGAATACAGTTCATAGGTAGTTGGCTCGTGTGTTATAATACTGTTTGATAGAATGATGCTTACAAAATATCTATTCTTTTCATTGAATAAAAGACTGTATTTCAACTTGGCAGGGACATCAAAGGGGCAAACATATTAGTAGATCCAAATGGTGAAATCAAGCTGGCAGATTTTGGCATGGCTAAACATGTATGTATTTCATTTTCTAGGCCTTTGGTTTCTCGATGAGTTGTTCACATGGAAAGCTGAATATTTTAGTATAAGTTCTCGTTACTTAAGTAAGACTGTAAGAACAATGAGAAACTAGAAAATCTTTGTTCATGCCGCTGAATGTAGAATATATTTAGAGCAGTTATATGTGATGTATAAACTCTAAGTGAATTGAACAAATTGAAATATCCACGGATCATTTTTAGTTTGTATTTATGTGTTTATTGAAGAAGTGCTAATTTCTATATTTTGTGAATCAGATTACAGCTTGTACTTCAATGCTTTCCTTTAAGGGAAGTCCGTATTGGATGGCCCCAGAGGTATCTGTCTCTCGTGTACTAAACATATCGGAAAAATTAGTTCTCTCTTCCTTTTGTTAAAACCATTTTCTTTTTTTCAATTTTTGGCTAATTGTTTTTTCCTGATCAGGCAATCAATCTATAGTTCCCGGAGTTGTATTGCTCATCTTCCTTTTCTTTTTGTTCAAATTGCAGGTTGTAATGAATACAAATGGCTATAGTCTTGCAGTGGATATCTGGAGCTTAGGGTGTACAATTCTAGAAATGGCAACATCAAAACCACCATGGAGCCAATTTGAAGGGGTATGATAAGACTTTTCGAGCATAATCTATTAAAACTCATCTTTGCCGCAATGGCTAGCTTCAAAGTGATTGTAGACTGCAGATAAAACAAAGCTTTCATTGTGTTGGATTCAACAGGTGGCTGCAATTTTTAAAATCGGAAACAGCAAAGACATTCCAGATATACCTGATCACCTTTCAAACGATGCAAAAAACTTCGTGAGGCTTTGTTTGCAAAGAGACCCATCAGCTCGCCCTGCAGCTTCACAGTTGTTAGATCATCCATTTATTCGGGACCAATCTACAACAAGAGTTGCTAACATCAGCATAACAAGAGATGCTTTTCCTTATGCTTTTGATGGAAGCCGGACACCTGTATGTGTCTTTCATATGATTATTATCATTATTTTTAATTTTTGGTGGAAATTTTAATCTTTTCCTTAAGTTCTAAATTTCAATAGATGAAAATATCATTTTGTTTATGTCTATCTATATCCACAATGGAGTAAATGAGATAGAATCTACATGCCTTAGTTACTAGAAAAACATAAAGTAGTTAATTTTAATGGATGAATTATTCAGTATAAAAGCTATTAAGATTAGATTAGTTTACTTAGAACCAGTATCCCAAGGGCCATCATTGTAGAACTGGAGATAGGAGAGCGTAGCAGCAGAAAGAGAACTTAAAGGAGAAAAATAGGGAGCAGGAGAAAAGAAAAGGCAGAGAAAGTGAAGAACCTGGGGATGAAAAGAGGGTCTGGGTAACAGGAAGAGGAAGACCGAGAAGCAAACATAGGAAATCAGAGCTCTGTAATGGCTTCTAAATATGATTCTCTAAAAACTCATTAGGGCTCTTAATAACCACAAAAGTAAGTCTATAAGGAAGCTTAATCAAAACTATATCTCTAATACCACTTAGTGGCTCAAATAGATTCTAAACATGCTACATTTGCAAGTGGAAGAGGTTGGTAATGCACTTGTTGCAGGCAACTCTTTTTTCAACAGAGTAAGTGCTGGAGACATATTTTGCAGCCAGCAGACCTTCAACCCTTACCACCAAGTAGGGAGAGAATGAAGTAACCAATGGGCTGAACTTAAATTATTGCCCATGGTTTGTGCAGACAACTCTTTTTTTCGACAGAGTAAGTGCTAGAGACATTTTGCAGCCAACAGACCTTAAATCCTTACCCCCATCTAGGGAGAGAAGGAAGTAACTAATGGGCTGAACTTAATGATTGCCCATGGTTTGTTGCAGACAACTTAACAATGGTATAATGGGCTATTTAGTGCAAAAGATCAAATATATGTTTGTATTTCAATGGGTTAGTTAGTGCAGGACAGCAGTTTCATACGTTTGGTAAAGGGTTAACGACTGCATTTATTTTTCTTGAGCAGCCAGCTTTGGAACTTCATTCAAATAGAACAAGTATTAATATGTCTGATGGAGATTATGTGGCTAAGCCATTGCCCACAACATCAAGAGTCACAAAGAGCCCAAGGTAAATAACATTTTATCTACTTTGTCCTTACACAAGCTTTCAAATTCATAAGGTGTTGAGCAGCTTTATTACATTATGCAGAGAAAACGTAAGGATGATTACGTCTTTGCCTGTCTCGCCATGTTCAAGTCCATTACGACAATATGGTCCGGCACATAAGAGTTGCCTTCTGTCCCCTCCTTACCCGTCTTATGCAGTATCCGGTCAGAGTGGTTACAACTTAAGCGAGTATGCAGTAAATCCATTGAGGCCGAACACAAGATACAGCCATGATCCCTGGATCGACACCTCTATATTGAGATCCCAAACACCCAATGCATCACCAAGAACAAGACCATTGTGAAAGCAAGAAAGGAAGGAAGAAGAAAAAGAAACAATATATCCAACTCTCCTCGGAGCACCTCAGGGAGCTTAACGATGGTAATTTATCGAAAGCACTTGTGATGGGTAAGCTGTTCTCAAAGAATTTGAAAGTGGTTTTACTTACTCCTTGAAAGAGGTAAGTAAATTTACGCACCATGGGAAGCCAAAAAGGTAAGGATAAGAGTTAGTTCCAGGGAGAGAGTGGATATATTGGTGTTAGTAATTTGTTGTTGTGAGATGATTGTAAATGGAAGGGAATGAGTATATTTGTAAAATTCATGTATACTTGCTTACACCCAGCAGTTTATGATGATAATATATACAGGTAAAACCCTTTTGACTATCTGACAATTGAAATCTTCGATCTTTTTGGACATCACTTGTCAATACTTGTATTGTTAATAGTTGTTATATAATGTGATATTGTCGTACGTGATTGTAGATGGATGAGAAAGGTGGTGGGAAGGAGATGAAAGATGTTTAAGATGATGAATTGCAGTTGTAAAGTTGATAAGATATTATATAAGTAATAAATGAGTTTTTTTGGGAAAATCTAGTTTTCTGATGGAGATAATAATAATAATAATAATAATAATATATGTGTGTGTGTATAAACATATATATATATACTAAATCTAATAATTAATGTTGGTTTCTAATTATTAAATAGTTTCTTTTTTATTTGTATCACTTATCAATTGGCTTATAAATACTAAATCTTTTACCTTTTAGCATAAAATTAGTTAGATATTAATGGTATATATATTTTTTAAAGAATAATATAATATATACATATATATATTTATTTATTTATTTTTACATGGTATGATTGTTAAATTTGTAACTTTTACTTTTATAAAAGGAGAGAATTAACATGTAACTCAAAGGTCAGGTAAATATTTTTTTACTTGATGTGATAATATATATAATTTTATCTTTCTAAATATAAAAATAAAATCTATTTTTTTTTAAAAAATATAACTAAAATTAACATGATATAATAAATAGTTTTAATTTGTAAATATAAAAATAAAATTTAATTTTAATTGATGACGAATTCTGAAATTTTGTTCAAAAATTTCTAATTTTTAATCTTTAATAAAAGAATTATAATTTTAAAATTTTTTATTTTTAAAAATAATTTCGTGTTTTAAATAATTTTTTAAATTTAAAAATTAAAATCAGGGTGAAAATAATTTTTTAAACTGAAATTGCATTATAATATATATAATTGAAATATTAATTTAATAGTTTCTGATAGAGCGTATTTTATGTGCCGCCAGTACAGAGACAATGTCGGTTGCACGAAATTCTACCCTAGAAACACCTGCACCCAAATATTTCCCACAACCTCTTTTCCTTCTCCCGGAAGCTTTGCAAGGGAGGGAGGGAAGGAAAGGAAAGGAAAGGGAAACAGTCGAATTTTCCTTCGCTCTCTTTTTCATCTATGCAGTTTAAATACAGGATTCATCCTTTTACAACGAACATAGGCCAGAACCAGAGGGAAACATAGAAAGAAGAAGTAGGGAAAATGCCGATAGAGATGCCGAGAGGCTTACCATTCTCGGTGGACACTTTCAGTTCGTCTTCTATGAAGAAGAGACACCATTTCTTGACACATGCCCACAAGGACCACACCGCTGGCATCTCCTCTCGTTTATCTTTCCCAATTTACTCTACCTATCTCACTAAAATCCTTATTCTTCAACATTATACTCAGGTATCTTCCCTTTTTTGAATCTAGAACTATCCCTTACTTTTCGTTCTCTTCGTTTATTTGTTTATTTATTTATTTTATGATATGCCAATTTGTTTGCTTTCTTTCCTAAATGGTTCTGGTGTTGATTTCTGTTTTTTCTTTGGCAGCTTGACGATTCTTTGTTTTTGTGTATTGAAGTTGGGCAATCAATGGTTATCAATGATCCAGATGGAGATTTCAGGGTTACGGCCTTTGATGCGAATCATTGTCCAGGTAATTGATGTTCTATTGCGTGGATTTCTTGCAGCTTAATTATTTGTAGTTCTCACTTTATGATTAAGTTGTTTGGGTGCGTTCCATGGAAACTCATTATTGGCTTGTTTTTAGCTATTGATGTTCATGATTCTTCTTCTTTCCAACCTTTGTTTTCATATCTATGACAGATTCAGCTATTCTTCTTGCTTTACTTCTCATCTGTTGTTGTACGCATATATTATTTTAACTGAGAGGATTTTATTTTTTCGCTAGTTTCAATAATTTGATAATGGATTTGAAGATGTTTGCTCATAGCAAAACAATAGGGTTTTGTTATGTTAAAACAGTTATTTGCTTCTATGGAATTGTTCCTTCTGACATAGAGAACAAGTCTGCTTTCAGTTTGGTTCAATTTTTTGTTTCGTTCCTGGTTAATTCTCATATTAATTTTTTAATATTTTTTCTGTATATATGTATAGTTAGTTTTTGAGCTATTCCTATCTTAAATTCTTTGGGATCAGTATTTTGAGATTAGCTACAAATGGAATGAGAACTGAATCAAACAGGCAGTACGTATTTTATTTGGTTACAAGTGAAAGTATATCTGCTGGAAACAGAAGGATTGTTATTTCTGCAGATCATTTCTTTTTTTCTTTTTTTGTTTTTGGTTAGTCTTTGGAGAATGGGAGTTTTTGAGTTCCTTTGGTTGTGGCTATGTGTGTATGTGACCCTAATAATATGGTGAGGACACTATTGACAGATGCTCCCGTTTTGTGATATGGACTGTAAACTTTAGGAGCAGTCATGTTCCTCTTTGAAGGCAATTTTGGCAACATTCTTCACACAGGAGATTGTAGGCTCACCCCTGAGTGCCTGCGGTGTTTGCCAGAGAAGTATGTGGGCAGAAAAGGAAAAGAACCCGGGTGTCGACTTGATTATATTTTTCTTGACTGCACTTTTGGGAAATTTTCTCAAAGACTCCCCAGCAAGCACTCTGCAATCAGTCAGGTACTTTCAGTAACTTAATATAGATCTTATCTTAATAGCCTGCAATCTCATCTGGGATCTATGGGGATGCCTTTATTTGATCACCACTGAGGCTTTTTCCACATTGATCCTTATTATATGCAAAAAGCCATGAAAAGAGCATTATGTATAAGAAGTAGAAATGAGATCATATATACTTGTACTTCACATGCATAATCCTGTGTAAGTTTTGTCTGATGGATAGATTGATGCATAACAGATTAGGCTTTGATTTTCTAAAATAGATAAGAAATTGTAATTTTTAAAGTTGAATCTTCTTATTATTTGTGACCCTATTATTATAACTTTTATAACTTCAAGATTCTATTCCTTTTAGTAGTTAGTTTTTCTTTTCTTATTAGGATTGTTAGTTTAATTTTTTTGGGTAAATGTTACTTAGGAAGTTTAAATTTTTCTTTTTTTAAGATTAGGAAAGGTGGAATTTGTCAGAAAGCTTGGAAATTGTTTTGAAGCGAGCTTCAATAACTGTATGTTGGTATGGTCATAAGGTTGCATGTCTTTAGTTTCATCTAGTTTCTCCTCCTAATAATTGGTACTTTCAAGAATCTGTCCCTTAGAATTTGTACTTGTTTTCTTATCTATGTACTTGAGGATCTTTGTAATCTTTCTGTGATTAGTGCATGTTTAGGATCATGTTGTTTTCATATGGGCAGACATAGAATCAACTTTGCAAGAGTTTTTCACATTGATCTAGACTATTAGTTGAAAGTCTATGTTGTATGCAATTAGTTTGATGCATTTGTAAGTGTGGTTATGCATATTTATGTGCGTGAACAAGTGTGCATGCTTGTAAGTAGTTATTTCTGTTCCACCATAAGAAAAATTTAATTCTATGTATTACTCATTACATATAGACACCATTATCTATGAACCAGGTTACCAATTGTATATGGAAGCATCCTGATGCACCTGTGGTCTACCTCGCTTGCGATCTTCTAGGTCAGGAAGACATTCTCATTGCTGTGTCCAAAACATTTGGGTCCAAGATATTTGTTGATAAAGTTGCTAATCCAGAATATTTTCAGTCTTTGATGTTTATAGCTCCTGGAATCCTCTCTGAAGATCCATCTTCCCGTTTTCAACTGTTTGAGGGATTCCCTAAACTCTATGAAAGGGCAGCTAAAAAGCTTGCTGAGGCCAGATCTAATTTTCAGCCTGAACCCCTCATAATCCGCCCTTCTTCACAGTGGTATGCATGTGATGAGAAGTATTCTGAAAGTGGGACTCAGAGAAAATTACATTTTCATGAAGCAGCGAGGGATGAGTTTGGTGTTTGGCATGTCTGTTATTCAATTCACTCATCCAGGGAAGAATTAGAATGGGCTTTGCAACTTCTCATGCCTAAAAGAGTTGTCTCTACTACTACCAGTTGCAGGGCTATGGAGTTGGATTATGCGAGGAAAAACTGTTTTGGTGCTCGAATTACTTCAGATGACACTCTTTGGAAGCTTCTAGACATTGATGTCAAACCTTCACAAGGAGTTGATGTATTGGGCAAAGATATGGGTTGTGATTTCATAGCTAAAGGGCCTGCGGTAACTTCTGAAACTCAAATGCAAGCAGTAATAGCATCTTCTAGCACAAAAGAGCTGTTGACATGGTCTCCCCCAAGCAAAAGGCTGTGCTTGACGCTCTTTGGTAGGGCAAGAATAGGTATCGAAGACCCTAATTGTGCTCATGGAGAGAAGAAAACCATATCGGTAAAGGAGGGATCTCCACAAAATGTTTCCAGTACATCAGAAGAACTGTTAATCCTGGAGACAAATGCTGAAGTACGGGAGAAGAGTAAATTGGGGGACAATATGAAGATAAATGTGACTGCAGCACAATGCAGGGGGGCGGTGGAAAAGGAAGTTTCTGAGGGTTGTACTCCTTTTGGTATTGGCTATTCAAAGGGCTTTGGTGAAAACTTGAGAAAGCTTTATAGGTCTATGAATGTGCCTGTACCACGACCTCTTCCCTCCTTGGTGGAACTTATGAATTCCTCTAAACGAAGCAGGAGGAAATTTGAATTCTAGACTGTCTTTAATAGATGATTTTAACAGTGGTTTATGCGAGGGCTGAGCAAAGCTGCAGCAGTCCTTAGGAGTTTGATTTGTTCATTATTATATTCTTCTCAACTTTGCTTGAATGACTCAAAGCCAGCTGTCCGACATACAAGATTTTTTTTAATTTTTTTTCCTTACAAATGTTACTCATTGCTGTACATTTTATTCTTGCTCTAGGAATAAAGAGCAGATTGTGTATTGAGGCTACAGTCATTCAATTTAGTCCTTAGAAACATATGGCTAGTCGATGTAATAACGTAACTCTTGTACATTAGTTTTCAAATAAAAGATTCATTTTTTTCTATCACACTCCCGTTTAATGTAGTTTCTGGTTTGCAAACCAAGGTTCGTTTATTCCTTTATTCCACCAGTTGGAATATGAAAACTGAAGGTGGAAGTCTGTGTTAAAAGCTAGTTTGTGGTTTTGCCATGGATTCAACTTCAACCAACTTAAAAAATATATGGTTTAATTAGCTGTCCTTCTGTATCATTGACTTCAACTGCTCATCTTAAAGAAATGAATCTGAAAATAAATTTCTTTCAACTTTTCATTATGCTGATTTAGATAAATCACAGGAGCAGATAGAGAATGTTGACAATGTTATAGCATCAGAAAAATTGTCAGGACATATTAAGGATACACCAATATCTCACGGAGGCATCATATGTGTCATTCAAAGCAGAAACTTGTGTCTACAATCTCTCATAATTCAGCTTCTCTGACTGCAGACCAAATAAAGAGGAAAATCATGGAAGACCTTTCATTTGTCTTCTAGTCAAGTAGGAAAAAGAAATTCATTTTAGGAACTCAAGGATTTAGGTAATTGAGAAAGCTCAAGTTAACTCAATAGTAGAATTATTCTATACCTTGATGAGCATATTAGTGGGAAGCCAGGCAGGTGCAGTTGGGATGCCAACCCATGCAATCTGTAACTCGAGATTTTTAGTAAAGTGTAATGGGATTTTTCCTCTTGTTGAAGAAATATGATTCAAACTTACCAATGCATATTCTCCGGTCTCAAAATTACGCACATCCAACACCTTAAACACTAACGTTTAATCAGTGACTGAACTTTCTACTTTCATTGCAGGAAGATCAAAAGGAAAGAATCTACCTCACCACGATCTTCATATATGTAATCCAGACCTTTGTAATAAGGTGGATGTCCTACTGATAAGTACTGAAAATTTAACATAGCTTATCAGATTTCAAGTAAACCATTCATGTCAAGATTAAATGAGTTGCAGGAATATACATTGATGCTGTTCAGGTATTTGTCTTTGTCAACCCTCACAATCTCACCCTTCTTCACTGCCCAGAAACAGAGACAACGAGATCATTTTCGTTTCTATCTAATTTATAAAAGAAGTATCAAGTGTAAGTTGGAAAAGTAGTCACTTGAAAAAACTGGTTTCTTGGGAATCTTAGTGACTGAGCTTGAGCTTGAAGGTTGGGTCTTGGCAGTAGTAGTAGAATCTTCAGTCTTCGTCTGCGTGGAGCTGGGCTTTGATTTCTCTGGTTCTGCAGCCGCCGCTTTTATTGGTTCAATCCATGGAAGACGAGAAGGGTGCCTTCTTGTGGTTTGTGGTAGTGGAGATAAGTGGTGGAAGGAAGAGAGTTGGGACAAAGTTGCAGAGAAAGCCATGAGAGCTCTGAGGGTTATTTGTTTGCTGAATGGAGATAAGACGTGGTGTCATCTTAATTGGGAAGGTGAGGTAATTTCCATTTTTCTAAAATTAGTAATAATATAAATAAAAAGGGAGCTGATAAAACATTTTTCTAAAAAAAATTAAAAAAAAAAAAGACAAACTTTGAGCAAAAGATTTCTGAATCCTAAATTACTCATCAGCATGATATGAATCTCTCTACAATTAACTGCGCCTCTTCTCTTAACCTTCCTCCTCTTTACGCCGCGCACCGTACCAGGTTCAAAACCCTAATTTCCCTCTTCCTCAACTTGTATTAAATGCATTTATATATGATAAAAACATGCGTGTTTAGAGCATTAGGTGTTCGGCTAGGCAATTTATCAAACACATGGCGAGCTCCTATTTCGCCTTTGGCGAAAATGCATGACATCTCTTCCGCCTGGCATTTTTGATTGCGTCAGGGTCGGTGTTGCTGAGAATGTCGCGATTGAAGGTCGGAATCTCAACTTTTCCATTACGACGAGACAGGGGAAATCGCTGCCAATTCTCAGGGACTGCTCCATACGGATTCCTTCAGGACAGTTGTGGATGCTTCTTGGCCCTAATGGATGTGGAAAATCTACACTCTTGAAGGTAAACCTCCTTTTCAATGTCTGATTTTGTGTATTTCTGGTTAATCGAATAGTTTAGAAAGAAATTCACAAACCAAATTGCTATTGGACTAGACAGATATTGGCTGGTTTGTTGAACCCCACGAGTGGAACTGCCTATGTGACTCGACCAAGGAGCTTTGTTTTCCAGAATCCAGACCATCAGGTTTGCCATTCAATTTTGATTTCTCTTATTGCAAGTGGAACTATAAGAGAAGAATTCCTTTTTGCTCTTGCTTGCTGAAAAGATTACATGGGATAAACTCTTTTTACTTGCTGAAACTGTTGTAGCAGCTCCGTCAGATTAAATTTCTCCATAATTGAGAGTTTGGCAGTTGTACTTTTTTACCTTTTCTGTCTTCTGTACCTAAAAAGGGGGTGGATAAGAAATAGGTGATCATTTACTTTTCTTTCTGGAGCAAATTGTTTGTTTTGGGCTCAGTGGGTGTGTATGTAGATTCATGCATGCCGGTAACTATAGGATATCAGAAGATAATCATTTGGGAGAAGGTCTTCATTGATCAGTGCAAATGAGATAGACGACTGAAACCTGTTCTGTCTGTTTTATGCAACTTTCTGGTTGTTTTTGCTGGACTTGGATATCTCCTACGGTATGGTTTCATAATTTATCTATGCATAATTGGCTGATAAAATAGTTGCTTTTTTTACTGACCAAAAAGATAACTTTACTCTTTCTATCTCCTATATTTCTTCCTTTCTTTGCACAACACTTGGTGTAGTAGAATTAGAAAGTAGATGAATACACGAGATTGTGAGTGATATTGTAGCAGTGGAGACTTTATTATTATTATTGTTGCTAAAAAGTAAAACGAGCAATAAAACTAAGCCTACATAACCAGGTCCAAGGGGTGTCACAAATGTTCAGGTACAAGTGGAGGTTCAACTATTTAGGGGCTTGATTGAGCTAGGTAGTCCCCTTGCAATGGAGGTGGGAGCGGAGAAGGTTACCAACACTTGTGCTGGACTTTATATGAATGTAGGATAACTGGGATTTCCAATCGCGCAAGAAGAACCCTCAAACTTGGTTTCAGTGACCGTAATTGGGGTGTCTCGTGTTACCACCTTCTGTAATAGGTGCTTCACATACAGGGAGTTCGCCTCGATTATTATCTTCCTGATTCCCTCTTCCCAGGCTAGCTTGAGACCCTTCTGCACTTCTCAAGTCTCTGCTGTCATAGAGTCACTGGTGCGAAGGTTGCACACGAACCCTGCCCCCCCATTTTCCTTTGTTGTCCCTGATAAGGTCACGGGCTGGCGGTGGTCCCTGTATCACCACTAGCTGACCTGTTGAGTTTGTACCACCCCTTCAGAGGAGCTTCCCACGCAAGCCACAGCCATATAATGTGATCTCTTGGGTGGGCTTGAGGATATGACCTACTGTAAGCATCCTGGAACTCAAATGCTATCCTAAGTATATTTATGCTTGGAACTGCTCCATCACTCTTGTTCCTATTGGGTGAATTTACTGCATTTCTTACAGAGGATTCATGTTGTGGTCAGGAAAATTGATTTTGAACTGGCTAGGCCATAAATGCTAGCTTCTGTCTTCAATATCCAATTAATCCACCTGTTGAAAGAAAAAGAAAAAATATTGAGTAATTTTTTTTGCTCAATTAAATCTCTCTATACTCTGTTGGCGGCTATACAGATTCTTGCAAGGCATGCAGAGCACTTGTGTTGCATCTGGAACATAGTAATCTTCTCTTAGATTTAGTCTCTTCCAGTATACATTTATTAAGATTCGATCAGACGCTTGTATCCATGTGAAGTTGCAAACTTCTTTGGGGACGTGAAGTCTCCAAATGATTCTCTGTAAATTAGTTGGCTGGCTTGCCTGCACCGCATAGGAGATTGTATGTTGATTCTAGAGTCAAGTTGCCATCACTTGAGTAGTTTAGGCCAATTTATGTATGCTACATATTGTACTACAAATATTGGAGATCCACAATGATCTTGTTGTTGCAATTAAGGCTTCAAACTCCATGCACGTCTGAGTGCCATATTGGTTTGCATATGTTGAGACTATCCTTTCAAGATGATCTGGGGGAACTATTCCTTGACCTAGAGAGATAAGTTGCCTATCTCCCACTCAAATGTCATGTCATCTCAAAACCTGATTGTCTTTCCAGAGACTTTATTATAAAATAAGGCCGTCAGTCTTGTTCCACTCTTCCTTCTAAAATCTATATTTCAGTTTATAGCATTTTATTTGAAGCAACGGTGTTGAGATCATATGCTTGTCTAATTCAGCAATTCCATTCTCTCAAGCCAGAAATAATATTTTAATCATGGTTCTGTTGGTTTCTACTAAGACGATTACAAAAGTGAAAACTTATTATGTTACCATGAAAAAGGAACATTTTGAACGAAGTTTCTTTGCCTTATTCATTCTTGCTTTAGGTGGTGATGCCAACAGTAGAAGCTGATGTGGCATTTGGTCTTGGCAAGTATAGTTTGACTACTGATGCTGTCAGATCCAGGGTGTTAAAAGCTCTAGATGCAGTTGGCATGTCTGACTACACGCAGGTTGGTTGTGCAAACTTATCTTTTAAATAATCAGTTGTATATGATAAATATTGTACATATTTCTGGGGGTTTTAGCTTCTAATTCCTTTATCAGAGGCAAGTTCAAACTCTCAGTGGTGGTCAGAAACAAAGGGTTGCCATTGCCGGTGCTCTAGCTGAAGCATGTAAAGTGTTGTTGTTAGATGAGCTCACAACCTTTTTAGATGAAAGTGATCAGGTAAGAGATTTGATGCGTGAAAAGCAAACAATACCCTTATTTCGAAAAAAAAATAAAAGCAAACAATAGCTAATATTTGATATATTAACTATTTGAAGAAATTCACAAAATAGTTAAATATATTGTCAGGAAAAAAAAAAGATCATAAGGTGCATGATAACACCTAAGAATTATTAGCAGTGAACATTTTTCTCATCAGATTGCTCAAATTTATCTATTGTAACTTTTACTTATTATTGTCAAACTTTTCATTTAGTTGAATGGGGAAACATTTAAATAGTTCTATCCTTTGGTCAGACCCATCTAATATGGTTCTTGCTGAAGAGGTTATGTCGATACACAAACATGATACAGTTTGCTGTCCTTTTCTATGTCGTGCTATGCCTTTCAATAATTGTGGTTTACCAAATTGTTATTGAATGGATTGATTGCTTGCAAATATGGCTTCCTTATTGTGATTCTCTTTTTAGCAAATCTTGATTGAGCAGCATACGGTTTACACGAAATTAGTCCTTGAAATAATAATGGAAAAGAACCAGCCAACACTTGACATTAATCGACAACATTTATTCTTATTGTTGCCTATTCTAGTTTCTACAAGTATGGTATAGCTGTTGTGTGGTTCTAGTGGTAAAATTAGATATACTTGAGTTTGAACAACACGGTAGAGAACACAACCTTCTTGAAATTGTTTTATAGCCTTCTGAAACGAAGTTTTCTGTTGTCTTTCACCAGATTGGAGTGATCAAAGCTGTTAA